AAGGAACACACCAGGCAGGTCCGAGATACTATTGTGGAGAAGTTTAAAGCCGGATTTGGATACAAAAAGATTTCCCAAACTTTAAACATCCCAAGGAGCGCTGTGCAAGCAATCATATTGAAATGGAAGGAGTATCAGACCACTGCAAATCTACCAAGACCCGGCCGTCCCTCTAAACTTTCATCTGGAACAAGGAGAAGACTGATCAGAGATGCAGCCAAGAGGCCCATGATCACTCTGGATGAACTGCAGAGATCTACAGCTGAGGTGGGAGAGTCTGTCCATAGGACAACAATCAGTCGTACACTGCACAAATCTGTCCTTTATGGAAGAGTGGCAAGAAGAAAGCCATTTCTCAAAGATATCCATAAAAAGTGTTGTTTAAAGTTTGTCACAAGCACCTGGGAGACACCAAACATGTGGAAGAAGGTGCTCTGGTCACATGAAACCAAAATCCAACTGTTTGGCCACAATGCAAAATGATATGTTTGGCGTAAAAGCAACACAGCTCATCACCCTGAACACACCATCTCCACTGTCAAGCATGGTGGTGGCAGCATCATGGTTTGGGCCTGCTTTTCGTCAGCAAGTACAGGGAAGATGGTCAGAATTGATGGAAGATGGATGGGGCCAAATACAGGACCATTCTGGAAGAAAACCTGTTTGAGTCTACAAGAGACCTGAGACTGGGACGGAGATTTATCTTCCAACAAGACAATGATCCAAAACATAAAGACAAATCTACAATGGAATGGTTCACAAATAAACATATCCAGGTGTTGGAATGGCCAAGTCAAAGTCCAGACCTGAATCCAATCGAGAATCTGTGGAAAGAGCTGAAGACTGCTGTTCACAAACGCTCTCCATCCAGCATGATGATATTGTATCAAGGAGTCAGTTAATTTTTTCTGTTTGATCATAATAGTCTCTGGTCCAGTGGTTCCCTACCCTGGGCCTCGAGGAGCACTACATGATGCAGTCCATGTATGTTTTAGGGTGCATTAACACCAGCCCTGTTTAGTCCACTTTAACTGAACTCTAGTTCGTTTGCCTAGAAAGTCCGGTTCGTTTGAGGAGGTGTGAATGCACAATCCAACTCTGATGTGGACCAAAAAAGTTAACTCAGGTTTGCCTAAATGCCTAGGTCTCAGTTCGGTTGAAGTGAACTCGAATGTGGTTCCAATGCGGTGTGAATGCAAGTGGACCAGAGACCCCTCCAAAAGCAGGAAGTGGACTACAGTGCAGGGCATTTTGGGTAAATACAACCAAAACAAACATGCATTTCTCATACCTCATACAGAGCCGTCTGCCGCCTTGTGTGGAAAAATAACATTCTCCATGGTCTTCTGCCTCATCTACCACTCATGCTGAGTCCATTGTTGAAAAATGACTAAACAGAAATCCCAGAACCGCTAAAATTTGACGCCACTTCATTTTTGTTTTTATTTCCAGAAGAAGAAGAAGAATTGTCTTCTTCAGAGATTTTTGTGCCGTTTCCTTCAGTAGGTCTTGGTGCAGCGCCACCACAGGCAAGGGGGGGAATAGGTTGGCTCGACTGAATCAGTGTAGTGTTAATGCGAACCGCACTAGCTGAAATGTAAACAAATGTTCCAAATTTTGGTTTCCAATCGAACAGAGTCTACCAGACTATCAGGTGCGAAAATGACCTTAGTTGTTTTCCTGCTCTGACACAGCTGATTTGAATGAATGGGTGATTAACTGGCTTCTACAGAATTTGAAGAAGTAATTAAATCACTGAATCAGGTGTGTTGGAGCAGGGAAACGACTAAAACATGCAGGATAATGTTCCTCAAAGACCAAAGTTGGGAGCCACTGCAAATGTGCTTATCATCTTGAAACACACATTTCTCCAATCAGCTTTCAGGCATCAGAAAGCTTCCCCCTGTGGTGTGAATATTCATTTCTGGTAAAAAAGGAACAAACAAACAAAATCACAAAATTGCAATTCATATATCGGAATTTTTGAAGTGGGGTTCTGTGCAATGGTAAATAATATACCTGTTGTAGATAGCTCTTTGAAAGGCCTCAGTTTGGAGAAGTAGAGGTCCACAGAAACCCTCAAAAAAGTTATGAACTATTGCTTTAACTTGAAGCTTTCAGCAGCCGTTCACAAACAAGTCACTCTTCATATTATTTATTTACAGCCTGGCTTTGTCAAACGCATAAAGACTGACTATCTTGTCAAGTTCTGTGGCTGACCTGTCTGCTGTAACTGGACTGATAATATCAGGTCTTCTAGCTCATCTGTAGCGACACACTGATTAGTCTCCTACTTGTCACCCTCTCAAGCAACTGAGCCATTTATATGAAGAGCTCTCTCCCTAAGCTTATTTTCTCCAGTCTCATTCCTCCCTTTGAGTTTTTCCACCCGTTTCCTCATTTAGATTTGTGCCTCCTGCCAATAAATTTGAAAGTGTTCAGTAATGAATAAAGATGGATCTGATTCAGGCAAGCATGCTTTCAATCAGATGTGAATGGTCCCCTAAAGTTACAGATAGCACTTTTTTGTGTTGCAGAGCTGAGCCAAAATTTCTTATTTGTATCTGGAGGAAATTCAGACTGGCATTTTGTAAAATGTGCTTGTTTGCTATTTAGTGGGCAACATTGTTGCAGACCATTATGCCAACAGTGTTTCGTGGTGGCAGTGTCCTTTTAAACCAAGAATGCCAGTCTGAGAAAAAATGTTCAGGAACCATTGCACTTAAGGAACAAGGTGAACAGTAATGCTGACACTACAGAGCACTTCAAAGTCTTTTTGTGTCTGTCTCAACAAGTTAGATGTACACTTCCTAACAAAAAAAAATAAAGCCAGCGATGGTTATCCAAATTATTTGATTTACAAGAAATTGGTACGTATAAGACAGACACCACAAGGCATAGGTTGTGTCATCATGCGTAGATTGTTAGTGTTGTTCGACAAATCGTCCGATAGTCAAAACAGTGACTGACGGTCACCAGACATTGTGGGTTTCCATGAGAACGTGGGGTTGCATTTTGAAATTATGTGGCATTTGGGGCACAAAATTGCTGATTTTGGATCCAATTTGTACAATGGGAAAAGTGTGGATTGTTCTCTTTGGGTCGAGGGAAGATTCTGCCTCAAGTGGAGGAATTCAAGTATCTCAGGGTTTTGTTCACGAGTGAGGGAAGAATGGAGCGTGAGATTGGCCGACGGATTGGTGCAGCATCTGTAGTATTGTCGGTCTACATTTCTACCTTCACCTATGGCCACAAATTCTGGGTAGTGACCGAAAGAATGAGATTGTAGATACAGGCGCTTGAAATGAGTTTCCTCTGCAGAGTAGTTGGACTCTCCCTTAGAGATAGGGTGAGAAGTTCAGTTATCAGGAGAGACTGAGTAGAAATGCTGCTCCTCCACATCGAGAGGAGCCAGTTGAGGTGGTTCGGGCATCTGGTAGGTAAGGATGCTTCCTGGGCACCTCCCCAGGGAGGTGCTTTGGGCATGTCTGACTGGGAGGAGACCCCAGGGAAGACCCAGGACAGCTGGAGAGACTATGTCTCTTGGTTGAACTGAGAAAACCTTGGGGTCCTCCCAGAAGAGTTGAATGTGGAAAGAGATGTCTGGGCTTCCCTTCTCAGGCTGTTGTCCCCGCAACCCAATTTTGGAACAAGCGGAAGATGATGGATGGATAGGTTCATGAGAGCACCCACACTCGTGAAGAATCCACTTGCCCAAGGCAGACCACAAAATGTCTGGTGACCTTCACTCACTGATAGCTTTATTGTGCAAGAAGCATTATAGAACCTTACAGCAACTGAGTTTGAAATCCAGAGATGGATATTAAAATCTCTGTATAACACCCACATTACATCTCAAGACCTGGTGTCAGCCATATCACAGGTCCACTGCCCTTTGCTTAGGCAGCCATAAACACCAGAGCAGAAGCAGCTGCATATGGAGTGATGCTGTAACTGGGAAGCATGGACCCATGATGAGAGACGTTGCATCGTGTTTAGCAATAAACCTGCAATACCGCTCTTGATCATCGTGGGCCCAAGTAGCAGTTCTAAGGAGAAAGGATCAATCCTGCCAATGTTTTTGAGAGACACACCAGCCCTGCTCTTCATGACATGGTGTGGGGAGCTTTAGGGAACGACTTCAGGTCACCTCTGTTTGTGATTTGGCATATCCTGATGACAAAGCACTGCGTCGGTGACCTCTATTGGGTGGGTTGTAGATGTGGGTGTCATTAACAGATTGTGAAAGTTTAGTGTAAGTGTTTTGCAACAATGGTAGCACTTTTGTTATACTGTACAAAATTTTATGAAAACTTTTTTTCAGCAGCACGATGGCACAGTTGGTAGAGCTGTTGCCTCTCAGCATGAAGGTCCCGGTTGTAAGTCCCGGCCTGGGGCCTTTCTAGGTAGAGTTTGCATGTTCTCTCAGTGCATGCGTGGGTTTTCGCCGGGTACTCCGTTTTCTCCCACAGACCAAAAACATACATGTTAGACTGATTGGTAACTCTAAATTATCCCTAGATGAGTGAGAGAGTGAATGGTTGTTTGTCTCATTTGTTTCTATGTGTCCCTATGTTGGACTGGAGACCTGTCCAGGGTGTCCCCTGCCTCTCACACAGTGATGGCTGGACATGGGCACCAGTGACCCCCGTGATCCAAAAAGGAAGAACTGGGTGGATGGATGAAATTTTTTTTAATATTTTACTACTATTCTAGTTTATTAGACAATTATTCTACCTCATGTAAAACCCACAAAGATTAGAAGGAAATGCAGCTTCCCATTTATGACAGCAAAACTGTGAAACTCCCCTCAAATTTGTCACTGTCAGACCAGCAGCTTTAGATTGGCAGTTGAGACAGAAACAATCTATACACTTTAACACATTTGGTGTGAAATATTCAGCCTCTGAAGAAAGGTGATGTGTAACTTTAGCACATTTGTCTCCTGTTCAGTTCCCTAAATTCACACGTATTTTACATGTGTTTTTTCCCAATTGCAGATTCTGGACGTGCGTAACGTGTTGGTGATCGTGTCTCGGTGGTACGGAGGTATTTTGTTGGGTCCTGACCGCTTTAAGCACATTAACAACTGTGCTAGAAACATCCTGGTGGACGAGGGGTACACTGCCTTCACGGTGAGGCACTGTTTGGTCTTTTTCTGTATAACTCCAGTGAGATCCAGTGGATGACCTTTAGATGTTATCACTCCTGTGAGATGTGCTGCAAATCAGATTTCATTTCACTTAAAGTTTATTTAGTTTTTCTTCCCCCAATGTGTATTGTAAAGCAGAACATTTTACTATCAGACTGTACTTCAAAAAGTTTGGTGAGATTTCACCACACTAAAAATGTGATCACTGTCATATTTCAGATGTTGGTGTAGTGTCATGTCTCCAGCTGTTTTTAAATCAGTCATGCCTGAAAATAGCTATCATTTTGAAGTTAGTTCTATATTTTGTAAAAGTACTTCATGGATAGCATGACTGATTATTGACCGGCAGCCAAACCAACTTATGAAGTCTCCTACCTCAAAACATCTTTATGTCATTGTTGAAATGAGTGCTTTACTTCAGTCTCGTCCTGACAGCCAAAGGTCTTGTCACCCTTGGATGCCAAACCCAAACTCTGTGACAGCTTTATTTACACTCTCATGCTCTGGAGAGATAACTTAAGATCTGTGCAAAATAACTTGTTTCCAGGTCAAAGACTGCTCTATAAGATAATCCAAGAGATTGTTTTTGTGATCTCTGTTCACCAGAAGCCTGCCTAACATCGTCTAAAGAAGTCAAAGGAGCAGTTCAATTATCCACATTCATATCTTAATATGAGAGAGGCAAAAGCATTAAAGGCACGTTCTGTTCCCTGAACAATAACCGACTGAGTGAGACTTGGGTAGAATAACAATTCTTTGTGGGCAGATGAATATTGCAGAACATAGCCAAGGTACAGTGAAGCTGAAAGGGAATAATAGCAACACTATCACACATTTTGATTTATAACTTTGTACTAGCTTTGCTCAAGTAGATTCATTCCATTTTCTGCTTGCACACATAAAAAATATATAATTGATCTTCATAATAAGCACAGTCATTGCTTCGCAGTAGCCATTCTGACATGACGGACAACTAAAGTATTTGACAGAGCCACCCTTTCGAAGCCAGCATGATCCTGCACAATACGGGGATTACTTCCGAGGCAGTCACGAGGTGACCAGTGGGGGGTGTCTGCCGCCACCCGAGCAAACAGCACGCAGGAGGGGAAGAGAGCCTTCATCAGTTCCTCATCCCCACTCGCCAGCCCCCAAGCAACTGACAGACCCCCCTGGGCAGACATCTCCCACAACTTTATAGCGCTTGACGTGGGTATGTGTCAAAACTCCACTCAGACACTCAATCCACTCCCACGAGGGCGCAGGTCTTGTGCCTCCCTTTTGATACACTCAAGAGGCAGCCCACGCCCTCCCCTCGGAGAGCGGAGAGGTCCACGAGGGAGCCTTTCAGCATACTATGACCTTGCCAACAATCTATCGCGCCGACTTATTACGACAGTATAGGTCCTTTGCGGGCGCACCCGAAGAGGCCGACGCGTCGACTGCCCGGTGGCCTCCACCCACCATCCCCCGCTGGGGCGGTCTACCCCGCCGGTCCACCCCGCCGGTCCCGGAAGGTTGAACGCTGGCCGCAGGGATGATCTCCACAGGCAGCCGCGCCCCGCAAGCATCACATGCTCGGACGGGACAGCCGCCCCCCGTTTGCCCGCCCGGAGGCGTGCGGCCGGTGCGGGTAGAGGCTTGGGGGGGTCGTACAATCGCCAGAGGCACAGCCCTAAGACACGCCCAACGTGCAGTTTTATCTTATCTTATGTCACTAAATGAATAGTTTGGTCATTTTAGAAGTGTTGTTCTGCCAAATAGATATTAGTAGTTAGTGCCTAAATGAGCAGAATATTATTTTTGTTTTTCCTTTAGGACAGTAGACATTTTTTGTTCAGCAGATAGTGGGGCCAATTATCCATGTTTATTTTTGCTAAAATAATGAGTATTAAGAAGTGCTGGTGATGGCAATGATAACAATGCTGATTTTCATTTTGTCTTAGATGAAGCTGATTAATTTGTGCTTTTATTTTTTGCTGGCTTTTAAACCCCAGGAATATTTAAAATACATTTAAGATGGCATTAGTGGGATATATTACGTTTATTTAAGTGATTAGAAATGATTCTGCAGGAAAACAAGTCTTTCAACCAAATTTAATGTCATAGTTGGTGGTTGTTGTCGAGACTCAAAGTACATATCGATCAAGCTGGACTTCAGTTATAAAAGACAAAACAGAACTTTATTCTTTAGCCAAAACAAAATTTTGACATGACAGCAAACCTACCTTTCATTCGAAAGACTTCCTCAGTCTGAGGTGCTGTATTCAGCTCAGTCTCTTAAATAGCACCTTCTCAGAGTGGATCAACCAGTTTGCTGCTGACAACCAGAACCAGCTGATCACATGCTCAAGAAGGACCATCAGACTAACAATGGATCATTAGCACACTGATGGCTGTTTACTATTCACAGAGGGCTGAGTGATACTAGCAATCACAGCATTGTAAGAGGGGGACAGTTGAACCCGGAGGCTCCACCCCTGTTTAATGATGGACGATTTCTTTTCACAAAGATGGCCTCCTTTACTCCTCTCTCAAACCATCGTTCCTCTCTGTCCAGGATGTGAACATCTTCATCCTTGAAAGAGTGACCGCTGGCCTGGAGATGAGTGTAGACCGCAGAGTCCTGGCCTGATGATGTTGATCTTAGCTGAATACAGCACCTCAGACTGAGGAAGTCTTTCGGATGAAAGACGAAACATTTCTACAATTATTTTGTTTTGGTTTTTTGAATGTCCAGAGGACCAGATTTAACTTTTATAGACTGTAACAAAAACTCATCCATCCATTATATTTAACTGTCTACTTGTTGGGTCACGGGGGTCACTGGTGCCCATGTCCAGCAGTCACTGTGTGAGAGGCGGGGGACACCCTGGACAGGTCTTCAGTCATTCACAGGAACACCTAGAGACAAACAAGACAACCAACCATTCACTCTTTCACTCGCACCTAAGGACAATTTAGAGTTACCAATCAGCCTAACATGTACATAAGTAAAGTAAGTAAACGTTGTTTATAGAGCACTTTTCATAGATACAATCACAACGTGCTTTACAAAAATACAAAATACAGACTTAAAATAAAACAAAAATAATAACAGCTGATTAATAAAAACAGTAAGAACAGCTGATAAAAACGGTCAATAAACATGTAACTAAACACTTGTCTGAATAAAAGTGTCTTAAGCTGTGTTTTAAAGGAATCAACAGAGACGGTCACACGAAGAGGCAGGGGCAGGGTATTCCACAGCCAGGGGGCTACGGTCTGAAAGCCCGAGTTTTAAACCAGGTCTTAGGGACCTTTAGAAGGTCTCTCAGTGCTGAAGGCTGAAGGGTACGAGCTGGAGAATAAGGGATCAACATTTCAGTGATGTACTGGGGGGCCTGTCCATTTAAAGCTGTAAAAGTCAAGACCACATTTTTAAAATTAATTCTAAATTCAACAGGCAGCCAATGAAGAGAAGATAGAACTGGTGTAATGTGAGACCTTCTATTAGTTCCTGTTAAAAGCCTTGCAGCAGAGTTCTGGACCAATTGGAGACGAGCGACGGCAGTTTTGTTAAAACAAGTAAAAAGGGAATTACAATAATCTAAACGAGAAGAAATAAAAGCATGAATAATCATCTGCGGGTCAGATCTGGATAACATTGCACTCAGTTTAGAAATGTTTCTCAGATGATAAAAGCAGTTTTTTACCAGAAGCTTTGAATGTTTGTCCAAAGACATGGACTGGTCGAACAGAACACCGAGGTTCCTGAGGCTCGGCTGAGAAGAGGAGCCCAGAGAACCGAGGTGTTGCTTGATCCAAGGAACACCTCGGTTCAGGAGCGATGATCAGGGTTTCCGTCTTGTTAGAATTTAACTGAAGGCAGTTGTTAGCTAACCATGCTTTAATAAGGGAAACACAGTTTACTAATTCAGCTAACTTGTGTAATTCTGAGTCATAGAAGGAACAGTACAGTTGAATATCATCAGCATAGAGATGGTAAGACACATTTCTGAAGCTACTGATAATCTTTCTAAGGGTGCTGATGTATAGAAGGAACAGAATAGGACCTAAGACTGAACCCTGAGGAACACCATTCAGTAACAGAGTGGTCTTAGACTCTATGTTATTCACAAACATTGAAAAGGTTCTGTTGCTCAGATAAGAGGAAAACCACTTAAGAACAGTTCCAGAAAAACCCATCTCATGTTACAGTCGATGTATCATAATTTTGTGGTCGACTGTGTCAAAAGCTGATGACAGATCCAATAAAATCAAAACACTGCTCTGACCAGAGTCTGCAGCCATCAATGTGTCATTAGAGACTTTTAATAAGGCAGTTTCGGTGGAGTGCATCTTGCGGAAACCAGATTGAAACTTATCAAGAATATTATTTCTTAACATGCATGTTTTTGGTCTGTGGGAGGAAACCGAAGTACCCGGAGGAAACCCACACATGCACGGAGAGAACATGCAAACTCCGCCCAGAAACTTCAAGTTCAAGTAGGTTTATTGTCGTTTCACCACATGTGGTACATGAGGTGGAACGAAATTATGTACACAAGGTCCCAGTTACATCCAACAGTAGCAAAAATATAAAGTGTAAAAAAAACAGTATATATCATATCTTGGTTTATATCTTAGATCCTTATAAAGTGTAAAAAGAAACAGTATATATCATATCTTGGTTTATATCTTAGATCCTTATAAAGTGTAAAAAGAAACAGTATATATCATATCTTAGTTTATATCTTAGATCCTTATAAAGTGTAAAAAGAAACAGTATATATCATATCTTGGTTTATATCTTAGATCCTTATAAAGTGTAAAAAGAACAGTACCAAGACACATGCCAAACGGTACGGTAAAATATCTAAGTCATCTGCCAGAAAGGTCCTGGGCCGGGATTTTAACCATGGCGACCTGCTCGCTGAGAGGCAGCAGCTCTACCAACTGCACCACTGTGCTGCCCATAACCAAAACCCCTTCCGTAATAATACCAAAACCACAGATTATGATATTTAAATTGCAATCTTTTCAATGCATGTGAAGGGTCACCAACTCCCCTGCTAATGGCTGCACGAAGAAAGAAAAGAGAAGAAGCAGCTCATAATTTATGCAATATGTGATTGTTTTTAGTACTTTAATGCTTTGAAGTGATAACAAAAGCTGAAGGGAGAGATGAAAGAGGAACACAATGAACACAGATGTGCAATCTAACCCCATCAGCTCCTTCAGTGCTCCGGTCTAATAGATGTCAAGATTTTAATATTTGGAGCGATGTATAGAAGCTGTGAGACGACTACTTACAGAGCAAGAGTCAATGCTGCCTACCCAGAGTATGGCATAAAATCTATCAAAAGGAAGAAGTCAGGGCACAGAGGTAACCTCTGGGCTACACCAAACTAATCTCTAAAGAGATGATGATGGAAAATCCATTACAACAATTTGTTCTCTCTCATTCCCAAAGAGAGCGAGAAATGCTTCACCAACAGGTGGGATTCAAAATGAATAACATCTCTTTGCACCAGGGTGGGATGCTGGAGTAAAATTAAGATGAAGGAAAGCAATCTGAATATCTTACATCTGAAGAGCAGAAGTTCACTGCAAATTATTTTTTGCAGGATTTAAGAGCGACTTAAAAACTGTAAGACGCTACTTCTGTTTAGCTAAAATCCAGAGGTTATCCAGTGTTAAACTGGTTTAGAGATGGAACAGAGATAAGGGATAGAATTGTGAGATATGAAAAAGTAAATAAACATGAAAGAATTGGGCTTTATTTTTAGAAAATGTTCATTCCGCACCGTAAATAACAACTTTCCAACATCTGAGAGCTGGCAGCCTGGTTTGTCAGTGAAATAGCTGGTGGGGGATATTTGATAAGAGTACTCTGGAATGCAGTGTTTGCTTTGATGTAATTATTGGAATACATTAGAACAGTGTGGTGCATGTCAATCAGTACATTGTAATTTGTACATTTGCACACACAGCGGGACGGTAAGCATAAGAGTCTGTCATGAGCTATAGAGCAGCACTCAAATATTTTTCAAGAGGGCTAAAAAACGCTTTGGCACCAGTAAATGGAGCGCCAAGACAAAATAATGGTTATTCTGCTCGTTCTCTAATCCTTTTCCTCTTTTTTCACAGGGCGAGGCCACCAAATCAGGTGCAACGACCAAAAAGAATAAAAGCAGGAAGACTAAATGAGTTTGAAAAGAAGAAAGATAATGTTATTTAAGCTTGTATCTGCGCTCTTTGATGCAGTGAAAAGCTTCTTTTAGGCCGTTTGGGTGTGTCACTTCTCTCCTGCAGTCAGAAATCTTGTTCTGGATCATTTCTTTAACTCATGTCAGCTTTTTGTTTGTAAAGCCTTCTGTGAAGTGCAAAACAGATGAATTAAAGCAAACGTTGACATTAAAGTAATTTGTTTCTTTACACCCGGCAGCCTGTTTTATTGATCCATGACACTAAAAGAAAATGTTGTAGCTTTCGTTCTGCAGAGACTCTCGTCTTTGCAGCTAATAATTCATCACAAGCTTTACACATAATTCGCCCGGTGTTTTCAGGAAAATGCGCCTTTACACATCAGTGCTTGATAAAATGAAGTTCACAGAATTTTAGCTACACAAACGTTCTCTATTCACAAGTCCAAATTCCCCAAAGCGTGTGGCGTCTGCCTGAAGACTGCTAAATATTGAACTTTTTCCACAGTTGCCTGTTCTCTCAGAGCGATTGCCTCACATTTGGCTCCTTTGAGGTTTCTCCTCACCTCCTGTTCTCCTCAGCTCTCCATTTTGGTGACACTTCATTCCGTCCCAGACAACCAGCTTGCATACAAAGCACTGCAGGGCCGTGTTCTCTGAAACACCTGGCGTTTTATGTTGTACTTGAGTTTGTACTGAAATGACCCAAGAACTGTAATTAAGACTTTATTCTGTGCTCTGTGTTCCAACGGGTGAAAGAAAATGAAGAGTGACTTTTTGTTAACACTGCCTAAAAAGTTTTCACCCCCTTGGGTGTTTCATACTTTTATTGCTGTCATAATAAATTCATCTCGTTGTCAATATAATTAGTATTTTTACCCAATTAGAAAATAAATAAAAGAACTTTGTTGTCAAAGTGAAATCAAATTTCTACAGAGAAACACCAACAAAGTAAAAATCAAAAATGTAAAATAAGTGACAGCATAATAATTGACTGCCTTAAAAGACCTTCCTCACCTTTAAAGGGGATGGATACAAAAGGATTTCCAAGGCCAGAAACACCCCTAGGACTTCTGTTAAACTCATCAAATGCAGGACATGTAAATCTACCAAGAGCAGGCCGTCCTCACAAACTGAATATACATTCAATTCAAAAATACTTTATTAATCCCAAAGAGAAATTAATTGTTGTAGCTCATCATCCTGGTTTTATTCAAAAGTTGTTAGATGCTGATAGCTGTGGGCAGGAAGGATTTCCTGCATCCAATCTGAAGAATCTGGCCACAGATACCGATCCGTCCACCTGGATCCAGCTTGCTGTCGGATCCTGCGAGCCTCTCGATCCTCCTGGGCAGCAGGACTGCCTGAAAGCTGGACAGAGTTCCTCCCTGAGCGATGGTCACTCCTCCCAGCAGTCTGCGGAGCTCCTCGTCACCACGGACAGACAGCTGACGGTGTCGGGGGATGATCCCGGTCCTCCTGTTGTCACGAGCCAAGTTTCCCATCAGCTCCAGGATCTCAGCGGTCAGGTATTCGAGCACCACCACCAGGTTGACAGGAATTCATCCACAACACCTCCTTTTCAATGCATTCGGGATTTAGGGCTGTAGTTGAGGTATTAGAGCTTTTGAGATGTTAATCTGCTGCTCCTGGTTGTTAAAAAAAACACCTTGTTGCCATGGTTACGCATCATAACAAAATTTTCAGTAAAAATCCTTCCAGCTGCACAGCATCCGACACCAAAGTAAATAATCATCCGAAAAAAGTTATTTACATCCAGAAAAAAGGGGAATTAAAGTTTCATCAGCAGTAACTCAGAATGAATGTAAGAGAGCTGCTCCAACATTTTTTTCATTTTTTTTTTCATTTAGCCTTTATTTATCCAGGTTAGTCTCATTGAGCCACGAGAACTCATTTTCAAGAGAGACCTGTTTTTTTAGGGAGCACATGGTGGGGGTTAAGGGCCTTGCTCATGGGCCCAGAGTGGGGCGAATGAGGGTGGGGGTTTCACCTACCCCACCCACAATTTTTGATGTTGTCGGGGCCGGGGCGTGAACCGGCGATCTTCGGATCACAGGCCCACCTCTCTAACCTCTGCGCCACCACTCCCCAACATGCAGCCACCCCGAGCGTCACAATTCTAGAACAACTTCTTACATGCAAGAAGAAGAATAGTGAGACCACCAAGACACCTGAGACCACTCTAGGGGTTTACAAGCCTCAGCAGGTGAGATGAGAGACTGTGCGTACATCAGCTGTTGCTTGGGTTCTTCACCACTAAACTTTATGGTGGAGTTCCAGAGAGAAAGCCACCGTTGAAGAAAACTTATATTAACTGAATGAAATAAAATGATTGAACTCACGTGGTGGTCTCTCTTCTCTTTCTTGGACAGTCACTCAGCTTGTGAGGAAAGCCTGCTCTTAGTAGATTGACACGTTTCCCATATTCCTTCCATTTCTTGATGATTGAGGATGTTTAGGGAGCGGTTTTGGATGTTATCAGTCCATTAAATGGCCGTTATTAGTTGTTATCATCCCCATATGTAGCGGTCAAACTGTCCCATTACATATGGATTACATATGTCCCGTTACATATGGAGATCATAACAACTAATAACGGCCATTTAATGGCTGATAACATTTGAAGCGGGTGGTTTAGGTCTTGGAACATTTTGTATCCGTCCCCCGACTTGAGATTTTCATTTTTTTTTTTTTTCTCTGAGTTGAAATAGGGCTGTCACTTTAAAGTGGGTGAATCATGCATTCACTAATTTTACACTACATATTTTGATTTAATTCATATTATTCTGTACAAATTTGATTTCCCTTTGACCCTGAAGTTTTTTTTATTATTGTATTTGTAAAGAACACCAACTTATATTGATCATCATTGATTAATGACGACAATAAAAGCTTGAAACTTCCAAGGCGGTGATTACTTTTTACAGACACTGTAATACACAGATAAAAAAAAAACACTCAAAATCTGCATATATTCTGTGCTAAAATAATATCAGCTAATTCAGTTTGCAGAGATTTTGTTTTCTCTAGTCAGCTGTCATCACATTGAACCCAATCATTTTAGCTCCTAATCATAATTTTTTGGCTTGTAAGTATCTCACATTATGGGCTGAGGAGAATAATTAGCCATCTTGTGGTTATAAATTTCGCCCGTACATTTCCGGCTGCTGATTGGGGTGAGCCAATGGAAAGATCTTTGACATCCTCAGGAGTGCTAGCTCTCCTTCTGCAGCAGTCTGAACTGTCACTCTGGAAGGACTCGTACAGTACAAACCCTTTCCAAAAAATTAGAATATCATGGAAAAGTTGTGTAACTTCCATAATTCCATTCAAAAAAAGTTAATCTTTAATAGATGATAGATTCAGGGCCCACAATTTAAACTATTTCAAGTATGTGTTTATTTTTACATAATATGTGCTTCCAGCTCATGAAACCCACGAAAACAGGATTAAAAAAATTAGAATACTGTGAAGATCCAAAAAAGTTCAATTTGGTCCTCTGGACATTCAAAAAAAAAAAAAAAACAAAGCAAAAAAATCTAGAAACGTTTCATCTCTCATCCAAGAGACTTCCTCAGTCTGAGGTGCTGTATTCAGCTCAGTCTCTTAAATAGCACCTTCTCAGAGTGGATCAACCAGTTTGCTGCTGACAACCAAAACCAGCTGATCACATGCTCAAGAAGGACCATCAGCCTAACAATGGATCATTAGCACACTGATGGCTGTTTACTGTTCACAGAGGGCTGAGTGATACTAGCAATCGCAGCATTGTAAGAGGGGGACAGTTGAACCAGGAGGCCTCCACCCCTGTTTAATGATGGACGATTTCTTTTCACAAAGATGGCCTCCTTTACTCCTCTCTCAAACCATCGTTCCTCTCTGTCCAGGATGTGAACATCTTCATCCCTGAAAGAGTGACCGCTGGCCTGGAGATGAGTGTAGACCACAGAGTCCTGGACTGATGATGTTGATCTTCTGTGCTGGTCCATCCTTTTGGCCAGTGGCTGTTTTGTTTCCCCGATGTAAGACTGATCACCCTCCTGACACTGAACAACATACACAACATTTCTCTGTTTGTGCCGGGGGACTGGATCTTTGGGATGAACCAGTCTTTAATGTATTTTGGGGTTTAAAAGCCACTGGGACGTTATGTTTAGAAAATAAACGTCTCAGTTTCTCTGATACTCCCTCAACATATGGAATGACCACTGGTCTGGGTCTGGGTTCCTCCTTTTCACCTGTTGGCTGACTGGAGTCCTGTTTGGGTTTCTTCTCTGCTTTCAGGAAGGCCCAGTTAGGATTTCCACATTGCTCTAGAGCCTGTCTTGTGTGGGATTTCTCCTTCTGCCTGGCTCCTGAGCTAGTGGGGACGCTGTCTGCTCTGTGGTACAGAGTCCTGATGACTCCTAACTTGTGCTCCAAAGGGGCATATACTGTGAAGACATCAGCCCACACTACTTCTCAGTTTTTGCAGAAAAAATAAAAAGAAAGAATTGAGGATCACAACAAATCAAAATATACTTTCAAAACAATATGTCAATCTTCAATGCTTGGCTGGGAATCTCTTTGTCTTAATCACTGCCTCGATGTGACGTGGCATTGAGGCATTCAGCCAGTGGCATTGACTGGGAGTTATGGAAGCCCAGATTTCCTTGAGGCTGTCAGATCTTCTTTGTTGTTGGGTCTGGTGCCGCTCATGTTCCTCTTGAGAATACACCATAGATTCTCAATGGGGTTTAGGTCTGCTGAGTTGGCTGGCCAGTCAAGCACTATGGCATGGGCATTAAACCAGGTTTTGGTGCTTCTGGGGCAGGGGCCAGGTCCTGCTGGAAGATGAAATCTGCATCTCCATACAGATCCTCAGCAGAAGGAATCATGAAGTCCTCTAAAACATTCTGGTAGACTGTTGCTGTGACCTTGGATTTAAGAAAGCAGAGTTTACCAACACCTGCACCGGACATTGTACCACAAATCATGACTGACTGTGGATATTTCACA